AGTTTATGTACTGAGCATGACGTCACATGGTATGGAATGTCCCTCTGGCCAGTTTGGGGCAGCTGTCCTGGCTGTGCCCCCTCCCAGCTTCTTGTGCACCTGCAGCCTTCTCAGTCAGTGGAGCATGGGAAGCTGAAAAGTCCTTGACTAGTGTAAGCACTGCTTAGCAACAACTGAAACATCGGTGTGTTATCAACATTGTTCTCATCCTAAATCCAAAACGCAGCACTGTACCAGCTACTAGGGAGAAAATTAACTGTATCCCAGCTGAAACCAGGACAGATGGGGTAAACAGCTCTCAGCAAACCTAGCATGTCAGGGTAGGGTGGGTTGGACCTGCTGCAAACCACAGCAGCAGCCGCACATGCTCTGCCTGCGCTGCCATTTCATACCCTGGGCTCCCTTTTGGGCCAAGGGGTTTGGCAATGGCTTCTTCGGAACAGATCTCCCCACGCAGATACAAGCAGCACTTCCAAAGGAGCACGTCACCTGGCATCTGTCTTCTCTGCACAAGTAGGTGCGATATGACACAGGGTGGCACACCCTCCTGGGGAACCCACTGGTGATGTTCCCAATCCTTTCACACTCAGGGAAGGCCAGGCCCAGCCCATCATTTGGTCTTATCTCTTCTGTGTGAACTGTTCCCGTCTTACAACCTCACATCTCCTGTGTATTTAGGCTCAAGAGGGCCCCAGGGATGCAACATGCTTGCTCCATTCACAAGTTTTGAGTGAGGTTCCCCCCTTTACAGGGCTGACTCAAATGGGCCAAGCCTAGCTTTCAGCTCTACTCACTAGCAATGAGACAAGGAGATATGGCAGTCTGGACCAGGTACCGGCCGCACCACGCGGACAGCCAGCTTTCCACCTTGTCTCAGCAGTTGGTGGGCCCAGTGGAGGTGGCTAGAAGCATCAGGGTGCATCACTGTGCTGCTGTGGAAGACACGATGGGGCTACCATAAGATCCTTCCTGGCAGAGAAGTGCGAGGACTGACTCTCCTTTCTTTCGGACTTGACTGCCAGCGTGGCTGGGTGGAGGCCCAGGCTCTCCAGCTGGCTCATCTGCTGCATCCAGCTGGGTAGCCTGGAGCAACCACGCGCCCCTCTCCCAGGCTTGGCCACTGAGCTGATCTGCCTCGCAGCCCTCTGGGAAGGGTCCATCCTTGCCAAACACCAAGGATGAGCTGAAGTTGTCCAGCTTTCAAATCGTGATAGACATTTACCATAGCATACTAGTTTCCAGAATATTTTTTAGCTTTATTTTGCATTGTTGTGACATTCACAGAGAATTCCGCATACATTCATGTGACAAGGACACCAATTTGACAATGCTCATTAAAGAACGATAGTGAAAGCTGTTTTAGGTCAGTTCTAATCAACAATTACCGAAAACTTGGCCTCCCTCTCTCATCGAGGGACATGCGATTAATAGCATTAAGACATCAGATCAGATGGCCTCCTTTCACCCTCCCACAAACTATCCAGCTACAGCAATTATTATTTAAATGCCGTTATTGTGCGTAATACTTTACAGTCTAGCAAGATGGTGTAGTTCCTCTTCTGAGGATACAGTTCTGGAAGGAGAGAAGCAGCAAATTTCCAATTATACATAATATTAGAGTCATGCTTCCATGCTGTATTTCACTGAAGAGTACTAGGAAAGGAACATTTTTCACTTCATAAGTAGCTTTCCCTTCAGCAATTGCAAGCTGAAATCCCATGCAGCGAGATGTGCATGAAGAGATCTGACACAGCACCTAGCAGAGGACAGTGCTGTGCACTCACAACAGGAGAGCTGTTCTCAGACAGCTTTGTAGTGCAGACCACATTTTAAGTAGGGCTATCCTGTAGCAGTATCATCTCTTCCTACCAGCCCTCCACAGCAGGTCCCAGTTCTTCCCTAAGGTGCCTGGCGCTTAGGTCCATGGGAAAGCAACGTATGAAATGTTAAGACGCTGAGAGGTGAAATGAAAATCTCAGCTTCACGTTCCTTAGGGTCCCTGTCTCACCCACAGCCCAGCCAGGTATTACCTTGATCTTTCTGTAAATTCCTATTAGTCTCCAAGCTTCCCTTTTTCCTACACCCTCAAAACCAGTTTCTGTAATTACTTTGCAACCCTGATATTATACCATTGCCCACCCCCCCCAGGTGTTTGATATCATTTACATTCAATTCCAGTGCACCCCAAAAGGAAGGTGTTTCCCCCTTCCATCAGTTAGTGGCTGTGGAAGGGTAATAAGAGGGCCCTGAGCTGGGGTGGGCTTGAGGGCAAGGACTAGTGCCTGGGAAACAGCGGCTCACTGATGCTGCAGCAAAAATGGCTCCACAGGCTAAGGTCGGCACTGAACTAGCCTGCTCTGACCATTGCCTGTACAAATAACTTGGCAAATACACTTCAAATTAAAGCACAAAGCAAATAAAAGAGAGACTTGATACATCTAATTTAAAAAATTTCACCCGACCAGGCAGTACTGTGGCTATGCGAGACACCGCAAACCCATTCTGAAATGATGAAAAAGGTGATCCCAGACCCACAGGGGATAAAGAGCACTGACTCATCCTGCTAGTGACATCCCGTCATGTCCCAGGACCCTCACAGGGAGCAGGCCTCCCGTGAACACTGGTGGCTTTCCCCTGAGGTGACACTGGAAGCTCCTCGATATCACACTCCTTGCCTGTAGCTCCCCGTGTTCTGCATTAGCACACATTACGTTCCCTTTGTACTTCTTCTCGGCCTGGCCTGAATGACCATGTCCAGCGATTCCATGAGGTGGATGCTGCAGAAACAGTGCCGATACCAATCTACCTTACAGACTTTGTATTTTGCATCCCTTCCTGGACATCCAAGAACATGAATACACAGGCTCCGATAGCTATTCTTGCACACAAGTGATCACATTTTCTTCTCTAAGAGTTTTTTTACATATTGCCAACTTTCAGGAGAAAACAAAAATGTGTTCTTGCCCAATACCTCAGAGCTTAAGGAACACCAATATCATATTTCAATTAATAAAACAATTACATAGCAAGCCCATCAGACACAAAATACTTTCTGCAACTCACATATACAAATGCCCTTCTTCTAGATGGTAGAACCATAATATTTTAAGCTGAGAAATAAATCTACACATTTCTAAGCTATATACCCTGGAGTGCTTCAAAAAAATACTTCAAACTGTGCATACATCGTTAAGTCCTAAGATGGAGGCCAATTTTAAGCAGTTTGTACGTGAGCAAAATTTTATATAAGGCAATGGAGTTACATCCTCTTGCACCATATTTTTTTGATGGCCCTAGGAGTGCAAAAATAAAAAAAAAAGGACATTTTCATAAAGCTGTGGGCCAGAGAAACGGATAAAAGTTTGCACATGATGAGCAGGTACAGTACATGGCTGACATCATCTAGAGATAACATGACGCTACAGTGTTAAATCTGACAGTGACAAAACCTGTGAAGAGGGATGCCTGCTGTTAAATCCAACACGAAAAATGCATTCAACCCAGAAGGCATGAAGTCATCACACAGTCAGCACATTTTTCAGACATGCAGTCCCCGTAGCAAAATGTACCCATTCCCTTACATTCAGCAAAACTAAGAGTTGTCTTGAAAAGAAGGCAAGGCCAGAGCATGACAGCAAGGGATTGACCCTAGAGGGCACCCAGAGACAGCTAATCCCCAGCTGTGTCCATCCTCCTCCTGTCCCTTGCCTGGGCTGGTATAAATTGCCTTGGGAACAACGATGAGTAACTTTCTCAGTTACTCCAAGGTCTCTGATGTCCTTTCCTATTTAAAAGATGGGGAAAGATGTGGAGGTGTGGGGTGGGAAAAGGCTGTGTCAAATGAAGCAGCATCTTGCTGGAAGTCCTCTCGGTATCTCTAATTTTTATCTTTAATCAGAGAAGACAAGGTAGCACGTGAACTAAGAATTCATTAAAGCCCCGGTGCAGACGAAGCAATTGTCATTTAACTTAGGATAAATCAGCTATTGGTCACATTTTAGGGTTTTCCTCTGAACCACTTTTGTTACATAGGTAAGACCATCTTTGTTAGCTAACATCAAAGCTCCTCATCTTCCTCTAGTGTATATTTGGCTTTGTGTGCAGAGGGGACACAACAGGGTCCAGCCCTCAGTGCCTCTCATGCCTTCCCCCATCTCAGCTAGAGGACTGTTTGTCTGGGTTCAATGCATTTAAGTCCTTCTTGGCATAGCATCACAAGGTGATCCATCTTTTCCCCATAGTCGAAGAAAAACAACCACCCTGCCATTTCACATTGGCTGGTAATAAGCATGTCTCCCACCCTTGCAGCAATTTTAAATGAAACCTGTAAGATTTTTCAATTACACCTGGATAACATCACCTTCCACTTACTCTTCATTTGAATTTACTTCACAGCTATAATCTGGCAGCAATTCCCTCTCAGAGAAAACAATGATTGGACAATTAAATGTGAAAGCTCCATGAATCAGTGGATGAGCCACATGAACACAGATTTTTTTTTTTCCATTATAGTCCTACTTCCTTGTGGTACCTCCGGTGTAAGCTCAGTTTCATGAGGAGAGTTTGCTCCTCAAACTTCCCTTTTACACACGCACAGACCACGGCTTAAAGGTCCCCGGCTCAGCAGAAGGGCACTGTAAAGAGAAAAAAAAATTAAGTTAGCAACAAATGAGGGTCCCGGCCTGGGTTCAGCATGCCCCACCATGCTCCCTTTAAGGTGGGTGACTTTGTACCATTGAAGATCTGAGTTCACATCCCAGTCTTTTAAAACAGAGATGTCTGTCTCATGGCACTTCAGTTGGAGGCTGTGCCTGGCTCTAGCTGAACGCCTGATGGTCAACAATTTGTGCAAATTCTCAAAACCATTTCCAAGTCCTTCTCCCCAGACAGCGATGCAGGTGTTAGGTGAGAAGGACTAAGATATCCAGGTTTTGCTGTTGACCACAGTGGGGTTCAAGCTGACGAAAGCCTGGAGGATGCCCACATGGACAGACAGCTGTGTTTTCTGAGTCACACAGGAATCAGCAGGACTCTGTGCAGGGACCCACTCCTACGCAGCCCTGTCACAACACTGTAACAGAGGAGGAGCCCATGAAAAGACAGTGACAGGGTTAACTCCTGCACTCCTTCAGATCAAGCCCACAGCCTCTGAGCAGACTCCTGTGGTCATAACGTTCAGGAGAAATGAGCATTTTCAGTAACACTTTCCTCTCCCTCCCTGAGGGACACCACTAAATCACAGAGTGGACCTGCAAAATATGTTAGTGGTGGTGATCCCCTAAGTGATGATAGTCAGGAGCATTGGGACAACAAGTCAGTGCCTTTATTCTACAGACAGCACTCGGAGGAACTGCAACTTCATTGATACCGTATAGCAGACCTTCCTGCAATGGGAGCCCTAGCAGTGCTGGTCTGTGGATTTGTCTCTCATTTGGTGGCATGTTAAATGAAGGATAACACCCATGAAATAAAAATCATCTGCTTAAGCAGGGCCACAGCCTCCTCATCCTGCCCTAATCCCAGACCTGGGCCACTGTGACCAGCACACACATTCCATGTGGGGTAGGCTGGCTAGGGAGCAGACTATGAAACCAGAAGCTGTTACCATTTTGGTGAAGATGTCCACACAAGCATTGCGGATCCTCTCTGGGGTGGCAGGGCTGTCCAGCCTGAACAGTCCAGTCAGGCCAGAGTCCTTCCTTGCTGAGTAGATGGCATCTTTAATTGCATAAAACACTGAGGCAGACAGGAACAGAGGTGGCTCTCCCACAGCCTAGACAGAGCACAAGCAACAGTGAGGCTGCAGCCCAAAACAGTCCTGGCCCTGGAAAGACTAATGAGGCTAACAGAAAGATGAGCAAGCCCTATGCAACAATCAGGAATTGTTCTCATTCCTCACTCCTCCTTTGTAACATCTCAGTCTCCCAGATGTGATCAGGAAGGAAAGGCCAAACCAAAACAGCCCCTTGCCTTCCAGATGTGAACCTCAGTCTACCACATGTGATCACTGAGGAAACACGAAGCTAAAACAGCCTCTAGTCTGCCAGGTGTGATCAGTGAGGAAAGACTGAGCTAAAACAACCCCCAGTCCATTTAAAGAAGACACAGTAGGAAAACACAAGCTTTCCGACACAGCAAGGCTGTTATGAAGGAAAAGGGACTGACATATTCCCACAACCTTTTGGATGGTGCTAAAATTGCAGCAAAGGGAATTCAGATAAGGCAGTGGTGAGTTGTCTGGGCAGAGAGCATGATGCTCCATCAATGGAGGTCCTTGCAAACCAGCAGGCATGGCTC